TTTTCACGTCACAGCACCAATAAAACTCTTCTAGCTAGCAGCTTGAGGAAATGAGGGTGGAGGCGGACGTGGTGCTCGGTGCACCGCTGCTTTTCATGCTCCAGCAAGTTTGAAAATTGCAGCAGCTGCTGGGGTTCAACTCCCCGCGTCTGCATTCGGCACTCTAGATTCTTTTTGCTATCTTGCAGCTCGAATACCTCATTTTTGTCCCACCGACGAGAAGGACAAAATGAGTGTAGCAAGCGGACGTGGTGCCTGGGGCACCACTGCATTTCATTAGTGGTCTAGCACAGGGTTGAGCAGTTGCCAGGGTTCGACTCCCCGCATGCAGCTTCCACAGTTGGTTTTTTGTTTGGTCTCGGAATTCAACAATTCAGCCCATTTTGCATAAATCATGAGTTGAAGACGTGCTACATGACGGACACTGCCCTCAATTATCCCGACAATTCGGGACAATTGCATTCCGTGAAACAAAGGTAGCCATTGGGTGGTGGCTTGCAGCCCCAATACTTGGAGGTCCAAGTAAACCAGAGTAGCAAGCGGACGTGGTGCACGGCGCACCGCTGCATTCCATACCTTGTATCGAAGAAAAATTGCAGCAGTAGATGGGGTTCGACTCCCCACGTCCGCATTTGGCCTCCCGAATTGTTTTGCCATTCAAATACCTCATTTTCGTCTGACCTATGAGAAGGAAGAAATGAGTACAGGAAGCGGTCGTGGTGCACGGTGCACCGCTGCATTTCATGTGGTAATATCAAGCGTGAAAATTGAAGCAGTTGATGGGCTCGACGCCCGCGTCTGCATGTTGGTTGAACATGGATTTTTGTCTCCTTTGTCAACTCAAAATTGTTGGCTAATCTGAGTTGCGCAAAGGATTGGAAAGGCGGACGTGGTGCACGGCGCACCGCTGCATTCTATGGGCTTGTGGCTTGAAGGAATTAAAGCAGTTGAAGGGTTCGACTCTCCACGTCCGCGCTGGAAAATGTATCCATCACTTTTTTTATTTTGGTTTTCGCAAGCCCACAAACACAGCTTTCAAAGCACGACTCAATAATCCCCAAAGTTCCATCCAGTAAGAAAAAAAAGTTTTGACTCTGAGACATCTGACCACCTTTTTTGCCTCGCAGTTCTCGAAAAGTTCTCTCCTAGCTAGCAGGTTGAGGAATGAGGGTAGGAAGTGGACGTGCACCGCTGCAATTCATTCAATGGAACTGAACCTGAAAATTGAAGCAGCTGTCGGGTTCGACTCTCCGCGCACCGGAGTTTGACGCAAATATTCGCCGACCAATATTGCGCGAATATAGGGTGTCTCCGTGGAATATAGGCAGAATGCAGCCAAAATATCGGCATGCCAATATTCTGCCACAATAGGCTGTTCCCGCGAAATATTGGCGGAATATTGGCCGCATATTGGCCGCATATTATCGACACTTTTTTTCGACTACCATTACATCACGTTGGAAGAGAATCAAAGATAGATGTATTCAAGTTGTGCTACCACAAATGCACTACATAGATACCATGTACCCATCCAGACCCGTCCATAAGGATCTAGCCTGTATCTGCAGTGGGGATCAGCTGAAGTCGCGAGTAAGCGAAGACAAAATGGGGGAGACATACCATATCGCTGTTCATGATGAGCGCTCCCGCGTGACCTTTATCGTCACCGCCTTCCTCCGTGCTCGGAGGAAGACGATGCGAAGCGTATGTGAGCTGTCGGTGTATACGGCGTGCCTGCACTGAGAAAGTTAGCAACAGTATAACAGTTCGTACGGAGAAGATACAAACCCACCTGTAGCAAATTCCGCGAGTTGTGAGTATGAAGGCAGGTTGTAAGGCTTCAGGAGCACTCACGAAGGGGTAATCGTTGTACGCTTGCCCTGGCGGGGTGATCGGCCTTATATTGTGTGAAAGACCCTCGGTAGACGGTCTAGCTCTTCGGGAGACTACCAGGAGACGAATATTTGTACTCTCTGAGTTGTAGACTCCCTAGATCTCTCGAATATTCAAGAGAACTGAGCAGAAGGTCTTATCGTAATCCGGCATGAAGTAAGTCGTACAATTCATAAGTATATCAATATAGTCGCCTAGTGCCTAGTGTGTAGTGCCTAGGCTAGGCAAAGATACAGCCCGTGCCTCTATCAATGCCTCGGAGTAGCTCGACGAGGGTTGGAAGGCTGGTTCACAAATAGAACTTTAGTTCTTTTGTGCTTAGAGTAGCAAAAATGTCGCCAAAAAAACGTGACCTCTCAGGTCATTTATGCTGATGCATTGTGGCTGCGCAGCGGCCCGAGCGCCGGTAACGGTGTAGGTCAAATCCACTCAATGCTCTTGCACAAGTTGCAGCCTCATCTCTTGAACGGCCTACTGATTCATGAAGAGGATAATAACTCCAAGTTCCTGGATCTATCCCTGATTCTAAGCAAGGGACGAAAGTCGAACGCGAACGTTGGCATAGCGCTGTGGACGGGAAGGCGCCGAGAAAAATAATTATAGTGTTCAAAGCATAAATCAAAAAATCCGATTTTTTTTCTGACCGTCTCAAACACATTTTTAGGATGTTCTGAACAAATTCCAAAAAGTGAATTAAGGCTAGTCTGTAGTTAACCGCGCCACCGTGTATCGGTGGCCTGCTTATTACAAATCATCGGAGTTTCAAATTCTGCCATGCATATTTAGCACTTCTAGGAGCCCCAATTTCAAACTTCCAGAGAGAAAGAGTATTCAAATGCGTGTCTGACCCCAAATAGCTCTTCAAATTATTATTTTTCAACTTCCATTCTCATGGAATGAAAAGAGCAGATTTGTCAGGATTTGTCATCTGTTGATCCTTCAAATTCGAATCACTCTGCCGCCGCACGAGTTTAGCGGACAACTTGTTCAAAATTATGCTAATAAGTACTATAGGACTTCGCATTTGTGAAAAACACGTTCCGGAATGCGTACCAGCATCCAAATTCTTTCCGTGATTTGTAATAAGCAGGCCAGCGATCGCTCGATCGAGCTTATCAACAGACTACAACATGCGAGGCACGAGCACCAAAACTGTTGTAGCGTCTGTCTACGAGAGACTAAATTAAGGCCTTCCCTACCCTATGAGGCTGTCTCGGCATCTTCCAAGTTCCGGCTGTTGTTAGTGTCTAAATCTACTCCAGTACTACTTAAGCTAGCTTACTTGCTGTAGCTACCTTCCTGTACTACCCATCCAATCCTTCGTCTATTTGTGACCCGCCGCTTGCCAGCCTCTTACCATCATAGGCTGTAGTGGTTTGTGGTAAAAGATAGATAAGATCACATGATACATGAGCACATGACTTGTAGCTAAAGAGTACGCAAAATGTAAGTAAAATAGGTAAATAATCTCTTACACAGGTGGTCTACAAACAAAATGACCGCCACTGAAGTCGCGGAAGATATGCAAACTTACTAGCAAATGCATTGTCACGTTGCTGCGCACACCGATGAGGAAAGCCAGATGTTTGCATGAGCATAGTCTAGATCTAGAATAACTCTTTGGCAGGAGGATGCAAGGAAAGGATAACTGCACCGTCGATGTCACTGCAGCATACCTGTAGTCGTAAAGCCGCTGATTAGCAATAACATTGTGTGCTAATTGCGGAGGCCGCTCACCGATACTACTCCTTGTACCCACATACTCGTAACCAAAATCGAGCCCGCTCGCCGTTTCAAAAAGGGTGTGCTGTGACATCGGGTGGAAGCCTAACCAGGAAACCTGAGAATCAACGGAAGCCGCACTAGCCAAAACAAATCAATAGGGATACGCACCGCGAGACGAATCAAACGATAAGTAAGTCGGCCTGATAAATGATCAGTTTTACATAGCAATCAAGTTGGGGTCAAGAGGGCGATGGAATAAGGTGATGGAAAAAAAAGGAGGGACCTAGCCTGCCCACATAAGGCACATGCGGCCATTACTCGTGTTTATGAAGGGAGGGTTCGCACCTCCTAGCACCCGCACCTGCTTCCGGCCACCTCGTTCCCCGCGCACTGTCGTCCTTCCCCGCGGACCATCGCGCTCCCGCACCCGCACCGCTTCCATCCCCCACAACGTCGATGCTCTGTCCATGGGCATTCGCGTCACACCCGCTGCAGATCTCTCCTTTGTCTTTCTGTTTAACAATACGCACCTAAGTCGTGGCCATTGCACCTCACATCCGTGTAACCTGCTTGGAGTGCTAGAACACACGATGCATGCTGCTAAGAGGTGATTGGGGTGCAATTTGGGCCTCAAGACGCGTCGAGACGGATGAGACGCAGCGATCTTGGTCGAAAGTGGGGACAATCACAGAGCGCACAATTTGCATGATATCAAGTAGAAAAGTGGGGTGGGGCTAGAGAGGTATGCAAGGAAGACAATTCCAAGAATTGGGGAGGAAAGAATGAGTTGTGAGAGAGCAGTCGATGTTGTTTGGCAGTGAAAGCAAAATCTTATATATACCCAACCTGTGCCTTGAAATTACCTTTCGAACGAGCCCACTTTCATCAAAATCCAATCAGTATTGACGGAACAGTGTGCAATTCAAGTTGTAGTTAAAATAATACGGCGCGAATTTGGGAACACTGAAATTTTGTTATTTACCTTGCGAGTATGGTACCATTCGAAAGCCCTGCTTAGCCGCTTTCGAACGCGCCTGGAATTAGGTAAATCGGCCCAGAAATGAGTGAGAAACGAGCACGGCAACCGGTCGGATCAAATGTGTTCTTCTTTTCTCTATTTTTAGCGACTGTCATCAATTGTGCAAACAGCTGTAAAGCTACCTCCAGGAAATCAAGATTCAACTCCGAGACATCTGACCACCTCTTTTTCTTCTCACACCCCCCCAAAGAAATTCTCTAGCTAGCAGCTTGAAGAACGAGGGTAGGACAGTGGACGTGTTTGTAAAGCGGCAAAAGGAATGAAACAGCTACCGGGATGTTTGCATCAATAATCATCGTGGTTCAACTCAGATTTGAGCCTCGCACAGAGGAGGATGTGGAATGCGGATATGGTGCACGGTGCACCGCTGCATTTCATGTGGGGTAAGGAAAAACAAAATTGAAGCAGCTACCCGGGGTTCGAGTCCCCTCGTCCGCGTTTGGTGACATTGTATTTTTTTTTTGTTCCTTTTTTGGTCTCGCAATTCAAGGATCTTCCGTCACAGCCTTCTATCCAATTTAAAGCGCAACGTGCTCTGTACATGTTCATCCGACCCTTCCTCTTATAGTTGTCTTTGCACCAATACATTTTTCGTGCTACAACCCCCAAGTCTACTGCAGCAATTTATTCTCTTTGGTCAGTTCTGTCTCTCATGTGAATTTTGATGTTGGCTGACACAGTGCTGTCCCTCATACATAAGATCCATACTTACAAGAATAGTCATGTCTCATCAACCAAGTGAACCCCACACATTTAACCTTTATGGTGCAGAATAAATTGATTAGGATACCAGTATCAGTATTTATATTACCCAGGAGGCAGAGGAGGCGATGGTGGACAGGGTGGCCAACAGGGTGGTGGTGGAGGTGTTGGGTATGGTCCCAATGTAAATGCCGGACCTGGAACCATGCACATCCACTACCATGGGGAAGCAGAAAACCGAGACATCATCACTGCGTTCAAGGCCCTCCTAGCCTCAGTCTGTAAAGATATGTGTAGGTCTGTCTAGCTGTTCGTAGGGGGCTAAACGGGCCCTGTGTAGGGCTACTAGACCGACCTGACCACAATTGTGGCAAGATATGTGTAGTCCCCGACCAGATACGTGTAGGTCACCTAAGCTGACTCTGTGTAGGCCGGTGTAGATCGGTGCAGGTACCTAAACTCATCTCCACTCAACTACGCTGGGGTTAATTCCGCATTGAGGCCAAAGTGCGGCAGATGGGTGTATTCCGAGAAGCTAACATCTGTCTAGGAAGCTACGCAGACCTACCCTGACAAATACATACCTATGCACAGCTACACACAGCTACACAGAACTATACGGAGCTACACAAAGATTGTATAGGTCACTATACAGATGAGGTCTGCCCAGCTGCGCATAGGGACCTTGCCAGAGGCTAAGTCTAGGAAGGCCTTGAACGCAGTGCATCCTCAACTGGCTTTCACCTATCAATTTCTTTCTACAACAGGCAGATATTTCACAGATGCAGGAGAATGGGACTGGTGGATGGCTGCTTGCACATCCTCTCTTCAAAAAATGGGTAGCTGGTTCTGGAAGCACCCTTTAGTGCCGTGGAATTCGTATGTAATTCATCACCCTCATAGCTTTCAGACTAACCAAGCTGAAATTTCCAGCCGGTGCTGGGAAAACAGTCCTTGCGTGTGTCCACTCTCCACATCAAGTGGCGACCACTAATACTAATTATGACAACTCTAGATCCATGGTTGTGGGCCATCTCGGCTCCCAATTCACAGGCAAAAATATTGGTGTTGCTCAAGTGTTGCTTGCATTTATTTGAACCACAAGGAAGTCGACAACCAAACACCATCTAGGCTTCTCGCAGGTTTCTGGAGACAGCTTGTACTTGACAGGGATATCGGCTCCATTGCAGAGAATTTATACAAGCAGCACCAAGAGAAGGGCACTGCACCATCCCAGGAAGAAGTTGTCAATGTACTCAGGTCTAGCTTCAAAGAGTTTTCGAAGGTCTTGTTATCATTGATGCTATGGATGAATATCCCAATGACTCTCCCACGTTTCAACGGGAAATTCTACTCCAACATCTAGCAGAAATGGGTAGCAATGTGAACTTGATGATCACTTCACGGCCAAATATTTCTCCAGAGCCTTCCTTTTTTCCCAATCTTGAAACACTGGATATTCAGGGAGCACCAGAAGATATTCGAAGATACATCGATGCACAGATCGAGTTGTCCCCACACCTGCATAGGCGCGTTCAGAAGAAACCTGTGTTACGGGAGGAAATTCATACAAAAATCACAGATACTGTGGATGGGATGTAAGTTGCAATGAATCACTATTTAGAAGTGACTGACACATACAACCAGGTTCCTCGTGGCTAAGCTATTGGCTAAAGTATCCAACTGCAGAGCATCGAGGGTATTAAATGATAAGGTGAGTTCTCTCGCTGCTCCCAGCCCCGACCTGTTTCGCCCGACACGGCCAACACCGCCTCATGGAATCAGTTCTAGACATGGCTCAACCTCCCCCTGTGTTGACTGCACGCTTAGGCCCACCATTTCGTCCCAACCCAAATCGTCGCGTTGGGCTGATGCTGCCGCTGCCGCAAGCCTGAAATATGGACGGTAACGGGGACGAGCTCGGAGTGGCAACAGGCGCATGGGAAATGTACGCAAAGGTGCGCTGCGGGGAGGTGCCGCAACCCCCCGTTCATGTCTTCATTGGATGCCTGCCTCACTCTGCTCGCTGTTGGCAAGCTCTGTGGCAAAACGGGCTTTGGTGTGCGCTGAGCTGCGAAATGGTGAAATGGACCAAAAATCGTATTTAGCGGCATCCCTGAACATTATCTATTTTACCTCATGTAATCTACTGTCCGGCCGCACAATTCAGATTTTTTTCGGGATTTCTTCCGAAGGTTTCTGTGCTCATCGTTGTAGACGACGTCGAAAGCAATTGACGGCTGTGTCCCAAATGCGGATATTACGATCACGGCGACCACGACAGCGAGCTCACTGCGTGTAATAGGCTGAGCATTGTCGATCTCAAGAAGGAAGGTCTCTAACGCGATGTATCGCGATCCTTCTAATTAGAGGCTTTTATACATCGGATTTTTCGTCTAATTAGAAGACCCGATGCATCACTCCCCCAGGATCTGGACAAACACTCGCTACTTATCCGCATGCCCACACTTGGCTTACGGACCATTTCATGCACCCTAACATCCAGCAGGAGGACTCACGGAATTGCAGTCCGGGAACAGCATATCAGCTTGAGCCTTGGTCGAACTTCGAGCTTTAAAGTCCAGCCCTACCCCGAATTAATTTGCCGCTTTTCGAGTCCCCTTTCCAACTCCATGGCGTGTCCGGCGGGAGAAGCCGGCTGGAGCTCTATATTCTCTCAAGTCGACCACTAGTGATGTATTTTTCGGAAATATCCCACACTGTACCCACGCTGCGCTACACGGTCTTTCTTGTCAAATTTGTTATGAACAGAAACTAAACAAAGTAAGACTCAACGTTGGAGACCACATCTAATATATTCGCCTAAACAAAGTAAGATTCATGTACATGAGTAAGAGATGGAAAATGAGAATACAACGGAAGCTCACCTCAGTGTTTGAGACAACGTCTGAGGTGAATCGAGGATTCGTAGGTGTATAAATACTAAGTCCGGAGATAATAGCCGTAACTTGTATCTACAGCTATCTATACCAAAGTCGTCGAACAATGTGAGATAATAATCAAGTATGAAAGGCTGTTGTACCGGAATAAAGACCGGCAGAAGAACAAGGACTTATCAAGGTCCGATTGCTGCATTACAGCTAATTCAATAAAATTGTCCAACTTCGACCACCAGGATCTATGCCGCTCGACGGCGATTGACGGGAGTATTATGATCGACGTCTGTAGAGGATACCCGCCAACCTTCCAGCATTGCCATGGAGGCGTCCCGCGAGCGCCATAACTCATCGGGACGTCACTAGCAATTCGTGTTCCACGTCCGGTAATTCCTGCTGGAATTACCAAGCGATAGATTCGATTTGCACGCAATATTAATCGGTCGTTAGGCTCTTTCTTTCAAGTTTCTGCGGCTTGGCGATCTTGGTGCACACGATCCTCCGGGGGGTGTTTTCGAAAAGAATAGATTCGGAATGCCAAAGGAAACCCTCAGGTTCTGAATGGCGGACTTCTCTCTGCTTTGTGGAATCTACAAAGGTGATCAGGATGGCAAACTGCGGGCGGCCGCATGATATTCCTTGTCGACTCTGCCGCTGCTGCAAATGCTTTGTGTCATCTTCGCCGGGGAAATAAACACAATTTTGTGGAATAGATAGCGACAGACCGAGCTTCGCTGACTGACGAGTGAAATGCTGCCCAATCTCCAGCCGGAATAGCAACCCGTCCATGTACAAAGGCCATGGGAGGCCTTCCCAGTTCCCTCCTTTGATGTTCAACAAGCCCTCAATCTGTCTTTTCCTACATCCGGATCCCACATTCATCTCAGCTACTGTAGTAATCCGACCAAGTGTTCACAGGGTGTCACCCGTCACCAAAGGTGTTCATTTTTCAACTGTTCATTTCCAGTGAAAATCCCCTATGCTCTGCGCTGCTCCGGACTGCTCAAATCTGCTCACTTAAAGAACAGCGTGAACGAGCAGATGTGAGCAGAGGAATGAGCCTATAGCATATGAGATTTTGATCTCATTATGCTGTCGTCTGCTCATTTCTGCTCACTTTATGCTCAGGCCTGCCACAGTCTGCTCACGTATGTCCCTTTACACGCCTAATGTTTCTTTCGGTTCCTCTACTGATATTGAATGAAATTCATATTATTCTGCTAATTACAAGACCACGCTGTACCTAACTCGCAGCCGCACCAGCGCATATTGCGAAGTCTGCATCCACGCCGACGTCCCACCCATCCTGTTTCATATTGACCGATCCGCGCAGCGCACGGGTTCGGCGAGATAGCGGGCTCGTCGCTGCTCGCGTCGCGTACTGCATGGCGGTGCTGCAACCCAGTACGTTTGGGGCTCCGTACGTCGCGTGGGCGGATGCGATTCGGGGGAGCTGGGGAAGAAGGGGCGCGTGGCGCAGCACCGCACCTGCTATAAACGCACTGGAGATTATCGCGAGGTAAGTGAGGCAGTCGTTTAGACAAAGCGCGACGACGTACTTTTCATTGCGGAAACTAGGCCGGCTCTCGCAGCTGTCCGTAAAGTCATCAGCGACACTGTCGCACTTGGAGTGAGAAATTAGCACTGTACCGAGTTATATCGTCTGCTGTCGTTGCTTCGCGGAGGCAGACTATTGGAAGTGGACCGACAGCTAGACCATGTATCAGCCGGAACATAAAAAAAGGGGGTCAGACGTACCGAGTAGTTCTCACACGGCAACGCAGGCCCTATAAAGTCCAATTAGATCATATGTACTCATGCATATAGGAAATAACAAAC